CCCCCAAGGCAGGGGCTGTGCGCCCCGGGAAGACACAGACTCGATCCCGCCACAGCAGGACAGCACAGCACAGGCCCCGACCGCAGCACGTGCTCCCGGGAGCCGGGCCGGCTTCGCCCGGGGCTCAGGGCCGTCCTGTGTGTGCCCCACGGCAGCCCCGACGCCCGGCTGGGCCCCTTCGCCACCACAGAGCACAAGAGGCTCCCGGGGGGCCCCACCCCCTTCCCGTGTCGACCGAGGGGCCTGGCGGGAGGCCCGAACTCTGAACCAGGAGCCCCGGCAGGGGCAGGTCTAGGCGCTCGTGTGCGACGCGCCCCAGGGTAGCCGCAGGCCCTGCCAGCTCTCCCGGCCGCCTGCGTCCTGGGGCCTGAGGGACATCACTTGCAGCCGCACAACCGCCCTCCCGCAGGCCCTTCCCCGGGAGGGCGGACGTTCAGCCCGGGTGGCGGCCGCACCCGAGGGTCTCAGAAGAGCGGGCCGCGAGGCGGAGGGAACAACGGCCTCGTGACTTCTTCCCCCGCCTTGGGAAGCCGCACCGGGTCAGACGGCGGCTGGTTCCGCCCCCCAGGCTGGGGCACACACCGCAGCTCAGGGCTCCGGGTGAACAGCTGCAATCGCCGTCCGTCCCCGCGGGGGTCAGTGTCCAGCCCGGCAGGGTGGCCCAAAGCAGGGCCCTGAGCTCCGGGAGCATCCCCCACACCTCAGACTCCTTCTGGGGGGCCCTCAGGATGGGGCAGGAGGGGCCGGGCAGGGCTGGGAGCCAAGGAGCCAAATCCAGCCCCAGTCAACACAAAGGCCGCTGCGGTCACCGCCCCACGGGCCTCTGCCCCCGTCTCTGTCTCTGCCAAGTGTCCCCGCCGCGTCCCCGAGCAAGTCTGAGGCCGGGAAGTCGGGGGTCTCTGCCCCACAGGCCTCCCCCAGTCTCCTCCAGGCCTCCAGTTTCTCCCCCTGCTGAGCCGCGCCCCTCCTCAGGTGGGGCAGGAGTGTAGAGCCCCGTTCTGGGGGGATCACGCCGCTCTGGACGAGGGCCAGGTGACGGCACCTTCAGGAGAGGGACGTGGGGGCAGGAGGGGCGGAGGGAAGCGCTGGCGTGAGACCTGGAGGACGAGCCTGCGGCGAGCGCAGGGCAGAGGCTGCAGGAAAGATGTGTGTGCGGGGCCTCAGCCCCCAGCTCGGGTCTCGGGGGAGCCTGACCCTGCAGACACCGGGCGGGAAGCGAGGAGCGCGGCCTCCCCCGGCTGCCTGCCCCGGGGCCCGCAGCGCTGACACCGTCTGTCCCGTGCAGAGACAAGGGCCCTGGCGCCGCCGCCCGCAGCCGGGCAGAGAGGGCGGTGTTAACACACGGGAGCCACACGCAGCTGAACTTCACGTAGCGAACACGCTGTGGAATAAACGTGCCAGGACGCTGCTTTGGGGACCCGCTTTCGGCGCCACCCGGAGCTGACAAAGCAGCTCCAAGCTCCCATTGCGGATTGCGGGGTCCCCCAAGGGAGGCGCCACGCAGGCAGAGGAGGGTCGCCCGAGGACACGTCCGGCTGCACCTGCCCGGCGGCACCTCCCCGGGGACGCAGGCCAGCACCAGGGCGCCCAGGAAAGCGCACGGGGCTCCCCCAGGCACGGCCTCTGAAGCGCTTGCTTCTTCCAACCCCAGGCCCCGGGACAGGTCCGCTGGGGCGTGGTCGGTGATGGCCACCCCCTAACTCCCTCGCGCACTCCCAGAAAGGGGGAGTTCCATTCTGTCCTACGCCGCTCAGCGCTGGGACTGGAAGCGACTTTGGACGTGGGCGTGTGGAGCGGCGGGAGAGCCGGGTGGCCGCAGGCCCGGGCGGGGAGGCCCCGTTTCCTGGGCGGAGGTGCCGGGCGCCTCGTGGGCATCCTCAGGTCACCAAGGGGAACGGGGCAAACCCAAGTGCGCGGGAAGTCAACCCCCGTGGGGCAGCGCCACGCAGCCAGTGGGGAGGACGCGCCAGGCGCGGGCAGGCGGGCTGCGGAACAGGCGGGCGGGCGCGGGCTGCGGCGGGCGCTGGGAGGGCCTGAGACGGGCCAGGGAAGCGGGAGGGCCGGGCCACAGTGGGCAGAGTCGGGAGGGGAGGCCCGGCCCCTTGCACGCGAGCGCTGACGGCCGGGAGCGGGTGGCGGGAGCCGGCGATGGGGAGACAGGGCAGCGGCGCGGCCCCCTCCCCAGCTTCCCTCCTGTTACCTGTGCGGCTGCGCCCCCAGCAGCCAGGTGTGCCTGCAGCGGCCCGCGTGATGCGACAGCTCGGGGAAAGGACTGATCCAGGGGTGACGGACGCACGGCCCCCGGGGGCGGGGGCACCGGTTCTCCGCCAGACTCGCGCCCTTTCCCGGAGGCAGCTCGCCCCAAATGCCGGGAACAAGCCGAAGCCGCAGCCGCAGCCGGGGGGCCGGACTGCCCGTCAGTGAAATCATCTGACGCAGCCGCAACCGTGAGCTCGGACCGACCGGAAGGCGCGGACAGGCTTCGCCATGGGGGAGCTGGCTGCCAGCCGGCACCCGGGGAGCAGGAGGGGGTGGCCTGACGCACGTCCCAGGTGCCGCCCGGTTCCTGGCCCCTGTGGAGCGTGTGGGGTGTGAGCGCTGGGCCTGGAGGTGCGGGCGGCCCCGGTGCCGGAACGTTCCCTGCGTCCAGGGAGGACGAGCTCAGCACACAGGATCCAGAAGCCACGAGAGCCCGAACGCGCGCTCCGAGGCTGTGGGACGAGGCTGGTCAGACAACGGACCGTCCTCGCCAGCGGGGTCTCTGCACGGCAGCACCGGCGACCAGACCCGGGCTCCGTGAGGGCGAGGGAGGCCGAGGCCATGTACGCTGGGCGAAGCCCCGATTTGAGGCATTCCCCCAGTCGTGTTCCCCCTCCGAGCAAATGGAGACATTAATACCTGAAGATATTCATCTCCACGCGCCTGCAGGTCAGGCCACGCAGGGTCAGCTGCAGAGCTGGCCGGCTTCGCGGCCCAGGGCTCAGCCTGTGGCCTCCCACCCGGCCAACGGGCGACCAATGACACACGCGCCTCGTCCCCAGGAGCCGACCGCGGAGCCCGGGGGCCCTGCACACACCCGCTCTGGCGTTTGCTCGCGCAGGACGTGAAGTGCAGGCGCTGTGACTCGGGAATTCCAACGCGAGGACAGAACGCGTCACGTCACCACCGCCCTCCACAGCTCAGTCTGTGTCCCGGGTCCAGAAGCTGCGCACGGCGCAGGAAAATGAAGCTTTTAAATAAAAGTTACATCCAGGACAGGCTCCTCCTGAGCAGAATTCACTTGCGATTTAGCGTGAACGCCGCGTCAGGAAGCCCCAGCTCAGACCACGCCACCAGAAATGTGCGTTTCTGCAGCAGCCGACTGAGCCGCTCAGGTGTCGGCCCAGGAAGGGCTTCTCTGTGCTGTGCACATCCACGCCAGACACACGCGTGACGCCCCGCACGACGCTCGGACGCTTTGCATGAAGCCATGCGACTGGACGCTGAAAAGGACTGAAGGGCCCTGTGCCTCCGGCAGGCGACTCCAGCCTGTCTCTGCGAGAGAGCAGACCACGCCACACGGAAAAGGCGCTCACTGAGAGCTGCTGCGCTTGCAGGATCAGAGACTCAGGCCTAACTCGCTTTAGCAAAGGCAAGAGAAAGGGGCGAGCTGCGGGGCGTGCCAGGCCGGGGAGTTGTGGCTGAGCCAAAGGCCCGGAGATGGGGGCGCACCCAGGCCCCGCTCTTGCTCAGGTGCACTTCCCGATCCTGGGGAGCGGGTGAGGCGTGAGCAAGTGCAGGCGGAGGACGCGGTGAGGGGAGGTCCCACATCACCCCAAGACCCCCCGACGTTGGAAAACCGGCGGCCAGGCCCCGGTGTGACCCCCAGCAGCTGCCGCGGCCTTGTGAGAAGCAGGATGACCCACCCCCACCCCCAGCACCAGCCTCCGTCTGGCTCGTCCTTCTGGTCCTCGACGAGCAACACTCACAGTCTGCCTGGGAAGCATCTTTTCAGCGTTGTCAGCCTGAAAGGGGGACCCGCTCTTCCGCATGATGGCAGGAAAGAACCCGTCGCCCCAGCCGCCCCAGAGCTGAAACTCGCCTCAAGCACCCCTTCTCCCTCGAATCCACAGAACCCGCACGGTATGCAGAGCGCAGGGGGCCTATCGGGTCTGCTGAATTGATCAGAACTCAAGTTCCGCACCTTGTTGCGGGCTGAGGAGAATGTCCAGGCTCCCTGCTCCCACGGCTGTGGGAGGAAGCTGGGCAGGGAAAGGAGCGGTCAGGTTTGGACAATGTTTTGTGCAAGTGGTGTGGGGTGGGCCAGGCCAGGGTGGTCAAGGCTGCCTCCCAGGTGACTCCAGGGCTTGGGATCCCGGCTGCCGGCTCAAGGGGCACACCCGGGGCTCCGGGTCCTGACTGCCGGCTCAGGGAGCACTCCCAGGGCTCGGGGCCCCGACTCTCAGCTCAGCAGGCACTCCCAGGGCTCTGGTGTGTGGCTTTGCAGCGCATGCTCATGAGTTACCCCCGTCTCCCATCCCACGAAACTCTCCAGGAAGAGTTTCCATCCTGGATCCTCTCCATTCCTCTGATCCTGCAAATTCGAGGCAGCAAATCCCAAAACCAGCGTGGCCTCTGCTATACAATGGGTGCTAACACATGTTCGCTAAGTTGCCAAATCAGTAAACCATTTCAAACCTGAAAAGCAGGCAAGTGTATTACTGAAAACGGACTTGAAGGACGACGAGCTTACTACACGCTCGCACGGCAGAGTCGCTCAAGTCAACCCAAAGCCCAAACGCAGTGTGCGTCATACATCGTGCGCCCACTGCTAAGTTTGCAGCTGAGATTCGACATTCACGACTGAATTTGTGCCTATGCCTTACGGTAGGAATTTTTTCTCTAGGCGTTTGTAAACAGGATGTGGGGGAGCAGAAGAGAAGAGCAATTTTAAAGTTTTAATAACTAAATAACGAGGTTAGTGACAAGGCCACGAGACGAATGCAGCGGGCCTCACTCACCGGCAGGCGTGGCAGTCACGGGAGCCACTGTCTTTCCTCTGAGCCAGCGATGGGTCCTGGGGGAGCTCCTCCCGCTGCCCCTGCAGGAAACAGGAGGTCCCACATCACTCTCCTGAGACGCCTGGTGCCGCCACTCACTGGTCAGCCCAGCACCTCAACTGGAATCCGCCTGCAGCCGGGGGCATTCTGCGAAAATGCACAACCTGCTGCAGGGGGCCTGCGGGGAGGCCTGCGATCCCTCCTTTCTCATGGCTTCCTGCAGGATGCTGCTCAGGGCAGCACAGCTCAACCACTGCGTGAAGGAGGGGGGGCGGGGAGGGGGACAGGCAAAGGGGGGAATGTGTCCTGTTTCCTCCAAGCACACCCGCCTCCCCTCCTCCCGGTCCCAGTGGCATTAAGGGACCTTCGGGCCCTTGTCTGTGAGGTGCTTGGGCTCAACAGGCTCAGCCTGGATGGGAACTCGCTGCCTCAGTCCTCGCCCCAGGCTCTCGCTGGCGGCGCTGCGGGGCAGAAGGTGAGCGGCCCCCAAGCGGGGACGGTCATCGGGAGGGCCCCCCTCCCCTCCCCTCCCCGCTGCGCTGAGACAGAGGCACCCCGCATCTCCCAGACTCCGCCCTGAGGGCCTCGGCTAGGGGAGGCCTCACCAGGCGGCGGGGCCCAGGCACCACGGGAGCGGGGCGCTGGGGTGCGGCCTCTGCGCGGGTGGCGACCCCCAGGCGGCTCCTCGGGTCCAGGTCAGCGGGGGCGTCGCCAGGGCCCTCCACGTGGACCGAGCTTTGACAGCTGGCGCCACCTCGACGTCACCACCCCGCGCCGCAGGTCATGACCCCGGAAGTCGGGCGAGGTCGTCCACCCGTCCGAGGTCACGCAGCGGCTGCGGGCGCCGCGCGAGCCCGTCCACCGCAAGGAGTTCATTCCAGCACCGCCTGGGGGAAACATTAATCGGCCGGGCTGGAGAGGCCGGGGGGGCGGCGTCCGACTCGAGGCCAGCCGCGGAGCCCCGCCCCGAGGGCGGTGCCAGGACAGAAACACTTCCGGGGCCAGAGGGGAAGCGGGGCGAGCACTTCCGGGGCACGGCCTCAGCGCGTCATTCGGGGTCAGCCTGTTCCGGGAAGGTGCCGGCCGGAGGAGAGGCTACGACGCGCCGGAGGGCCAAGACGCCTCCCGCCCAGGTGTCCGAACACGGTCTCGGACTCCCGACGAGAACGTCTCGTGTCTCCGTGTCCCCGCCCGCGCCCGGGGTCACCCCGGCCTGGCGCCCGCCGCCATCTTGAGCCGCGCCTTTTAAAGGGCGCGGCCGGGAGGGGCGGGGCCTCGCGCGCGGCCTCGTCGGCGCGATGGCGTCACAGACCCGCGCGGGGCGCCGGGGCCCGGCCTTTCCGCCGGACCTCGCGGGGCGGGCCCTCGGCGGCAAAGTCCGGCCCTGATAGGCGGAGCCGCGTGGAGTGACATCCCGGCCGCGCCTTCGCTGCCGCGCGCGTGGAAGCCCTGGCGCCCGGAAGTGCTGGGGCCGCAGGGTAGGTGGGGCGCGGGGTGGGGGGACACTGGGGGGGGGGGGCGGGGGCGGGGCGGACCCGGGACCCGAGCCCCGCTGCCCTGGCAACCGGGCTGCAGCGCCGCCTCCTCCAGGCCGCCCTCCGCGCCTGCACCCGGAGACTGAGCTCCGCGCCCCGTCCCCTCAAACCCGGGCTGGGCTGCAGCGGCCGAGGCCCTGGTGCAGGAGGAGGAGGCCCCGGGCCCCCAAATCCGAGGCCCGGGCCAGGTGCCCACGCCGCAGGTCCTGGAGTGGGGTCCGGGGGTGCCCAGTGGTGGGGCTGGGTCTCGCCCACGTGGTCCAGTCGTGCCCCCCCAGACTTGTGGAAACGGCCCCATAGCCGTGGTGCAGCTGGACAGTCAGATGACCTTTCCTCGAGCCTGAGCTGCCTTTGCAGTCGTGGCCGGTTCGTGTCTCGGAACTTGGGGGGCAGCTGTGGTTGTGTCACTGCAGACTGCATCGTTGCATGACCCCTGACCTCACCCTGCAAACATCTGTGTGGATGCGGCCACGGGGACGCCGGGGAGCAGCGACCCCCAAAACCAGCAAAGGCAGCCAGATCCCTTGGGAGCCTGCTGCACAGCCTAATGGTTTCCCCTCCCCGCCCTAGAGCGTCCCCCCAACGTTGCAAAGGCCCCAGAAAAAAAGACCTTGGCAACCGGGATGTTTCCAGATGTTTCTTGCCACGTCGTGACCAAGGGGACTGTGTGACCTCGTGCCAAACAAACACAAAATGCAATTGTTTAATGAATAAAAAGGGTGGGAGGGAAAAAAAGTGCTTCCTTCAAAAATTGGGGTGCACGGAAAACAGAATTTCCATGGGCCCCGGGAGGTGCTTCAAATGCAGACCTATATTAAAAGTGAAAGCAAAGCTGGTGCAGACCTATATTAAAATTGAAAGCAAAGCCTGTGGGGAGCTGGGGGGGGGGTTTCCTTAGCATGAGACGAGCGAGCAGGTGCAGCAAACCCCACGGCCTCGGAGGTGTCCTTGCTTCTGTCTTGCAGGCAGGATGCAGCCCATCAGCCTGTCCTTCGCAGCCTGCGGGTTTCTGGGCATCTACCACTTGGGGGCAGCCGCTGCTTTCCGCACACACGGCACCAGGCTGCTGAGGGACGTCAAGGCCTTCGCCGGGGCCTCTGCCGGGTCCCTGGTCGCTTCCGTCCTGCTAACGGCGCCAGAAAAAATCGAGGTAATTAAGTCGTAACCGGCCTGTGTTCCTCGTCAAGAAATTAAGCCCCAACAATAAAGATGCGCGTCGCGCTGCTGAGTTAACCGCAGAGAAATCATCCCCGGCCGGGGAAACAGGAAGGGTTGGGGCTGGTTCTTGAGCTGAATGGCTGGCGCTGCGCTCCGCTCCGGTTTCGCAAAAGAGGATTAGTCGCGGCGACAGTGAGACGGGGAGACAGGAGCTGCTTATTTTATTCCTTGGGGGTTTATTCAGTCTGGAGATTCCAGCTCTGCTTCCAGCAAAGGGTGTTTCTCCCCCGTCTGATCCCGAGAAGGGCGGGGTGGGGTGGGGGGGGGCTTTTGCCTGTTTGCAAGGCCTCGCCTGTGTGGCTCGTCCTGTTTACACGCAGGGCATAAATTTAAAGGAGAGCTTATAATTTCCGTGACACGCAATGAATGGGAATTTAATTTCCATTCCGAGCGGGAAACAAAGCCCGCATCCCCGGCAGCCCACCCGGAAGTCAGACATAAGCCTCCGTGAAGGACCTGATTGAATGCAGCCTGTGATTAAAGATCTGTTTCCGGCTCCTGGACGTTCACGGCGGGGCGGTTAGCTGCCGTCTAGGAGGTGATCCGGTCCCCTCTGCTTACCCTCCCTGGCGGCTCTGAATAGTCACGGACGGGCTACACATGCACGCCCAGGAATGAAGTTAAGTCTCGTCGAAATTTCAAAACCACAAAACGTTACACCCCAAAACCTCGTTCTCAGATGTGTGGCGAGCAGCCTGGGGAAGAGGCCTGGCGAGAGGCCAGCCCTGCAGAGTCCCCTCCTCCCTCCTGCCGCTTCTGGTTCCCCTGTGGGGAACGGTGGCTGGTGGCCGGGGCGGTGTCACTGCAGAGCTTCCGCGGGGAGAAGCTGAGTCTGGACAGGCAAGAGTGAAAACTCTGGCCCCAGCTGATGCTTTGAGCCTGCCCCAGAGCGCTCGCTTTGTGCTCAAGAGCCCTGAGCGGTCACACCCACCCCTCCAGCGCAGTCTGTCCTTCCTGGGGGGAGCCTGAGCCGGGGAGCCACAGTTTCCCGGAGCTGTTCTGGCCTCGAGTGACGGGAACTTGAGGCTTGACAACGCCCTACTCCCAGGTCACCTCGCCTGTTCTTGCTGCTTCTCCCCGAAGCCCAGAGGCCCAGCTGTCCCGTCCGGTTGCGCGGGTGGGACGCAGGCTGAGGTTTGACGGGCGGCCGGAAAGCCGTTCTCCGTATCTCCCTGGGACACCCTCGCGGCTCCTTTTTCAAAATCCATTTCCAGCCGCATGACTTCAGGTCACTCTACCTCCTTGCAGCAGTTGGCGGAGGCCACGGTGACCGCGCTGGCTTTTCCAGCAAACTCTCTTCTCCCAGCTCGAGCCCGTGAGCTGCTCTCCCCGACAGCGTGAGCTCCGTGAGCTGGGGGGGGCGCCGAGGGGTGCGCCTGACACGGGGTATCTTAGGAGCAGGCGGCTTTAGACCTGGCGTGAGCACCCGTGTGCACGCTTGGCCCGTCTGCTCAGGGATGTGTGTGCGTGTGTGCGCGTGTGTGACTCAAATGAACACTGAAGGCATCTGCTAAGTGGGCCGGCTGCTCAGTAGGAAGCACACAGTTGGGCCACCCCGGCGTACCCCACAAGGCAGCAGGGGCTCCCTGACAGCCTGCGGCCTCTCCCACTGCCACGGGCCACCAGCCCCTCGCAGCCCCGGCTCGAGTCTGGGCGCCCCCACCCCCGGCTCCCTTGCCGACCCGAGATGGTGCCGTGACGGTGCCTGCCTGTCTTCCCCTCCCCGCGCACCCCTCTTCTCTTTCAGGCCCCAGCCCTGACTCTGCGTTGGCCCAGAGCCCTTGGCCACCCCAGCTGGAGGCGGCGCCCGTGTTTGGCTCTTGTTGCTGCGGCAACCCTCGACCCTAAACCGGGGGGCTGGAGATAACACATGTTCGTTCTGACAGCTTCGGGCATCTTCAGTCTGAAAAGGCCTCACTGGCTGAGCTCCCGGCGCCCGCAGAGCTTGCTCCTTCCGCGCTTCCAGGGAGACGCCACCGTTTTCTTGTCTTTTGCCGTTGCTAGCAGCTGCCGCACCCCTCGGCCGATGGCTGAGCCAGCAGCGAGCGCCCTCTGCCCTCCGGCCCCCGCGGCTCCCAGAGGGGGCGTGCACTGGGCCCGCCACCCAGTCCGGGCCCGCCCCCAGGTCCTTCTCTCAGTCACATCTGCACAGTCGAGGTCCCCGGCTCCAGGGACGGGGGTGCTTGCTGGAGCCCGGGGCCAGCCCGAGGGGCCCAGCTGCTTCTGGGCTCAGCCCGCGCCCCCGGCCGCCGTGGAGTCCGGGTTGCCCAAACCGCGGGTCTCCCGCCCACTCTCCCGCCAGGAATGTAGCCAGTTCACCTACAAGTTTGCCGAGGAAGTCCGCAGGCTGTCCTTGGGCGCGGCGACCCCCGGCTACGACTTCATGGCCCGGCTGAGGTACGTGCGTGCGTGACCCCGAGCGTGAGTGAGCGCGGCCCGGCCAGCGGCAGCTCAGCCGGCCTCCCTCGGCCCCTCGGGCGCGGGCAGCCACGACGTCCTGTCCTCCGCAGGAGCGGGATGGAGTCCATCCTCCCTCCCAACGCGCACGAGCTGGCCCACAGCCGGCTGCACGTGTCCATCACCAACGCCCAGAGCGGCCGCAACTGCCTCGTGTCCAGTTTCTCCTCCAGGGAGGAGCTGATCAAGGTAGGCCCTGTCCCGCCAGCCCCGCCTGCAGCCTCCAAGCCCGCCTTCTGCTGGGTGGGGTCCGTGGCGGTGGGGTCCTTGCTGGACTGGCAGGATATGAGGCCGCCGAAGACGCCTCGGCTGCCCGGGGAAGTCTCTGCTGCCCCAGCCTCCACCCGTGTCACTGGGCACTGACCCTGTCCTCTGTCCACCGCCTCGCTCGCGCACGCAGACTTCCAGGCGTGCAGGGGAAGCTCTCAGCCCGGGCCTGAGCTGCCAGCAGGTGTCACTGCCCCGCGCAGAGCGGCCTGAGGCCACAGCTTGGGCGCCTGCCAGTGGCTGGGCCGCTCCTAGGTCCAGCGTCCTGGCCGAGGGTCACCACACCTTCCCCCTCATGCTCCTGGGCCTGTCTTTCCTTGCTGGGACTCTGCTCCAAGACAGTCTGTCATGCCCGCAGCTGGGTGTCCAGGGGTGGGGCAGGCCGAGCGCCACCCACCACCCCGTGGCCCCTGCCTGGCTACAGGCCGGCGTGTAGACGGGTCAGTGTAAAACGGAGGCCGGAGAATCTGTCTGGGCCTCTCTGGGCTTACCTGGTTGGCGGCCAGCGGGTCCCGCGTGCTCTGCTGGATACACTTACCTGTGCCAGGTGGGTGGGCAGCAGAGAGTGTCCCAAGAGCCACACCCCCCGCGGCCAGCCCTGGTGTGCTCCCCCCATGGCGGAAGGGACTCTGCAATGCCGTGAGGGTCGGGGCGCAGATGGGCGGGTGGGCCTGAGTCAGCCAGGGGGATGCAGATGCGGCAGCAGCGCTGACACCCGGGTCCACTGGAACCTCGTGCAGAGACACCCCCAGGCTCCTCGGACTCCAGAGCCGCCCCTCTGCTGGCCGGCGGGCCAGGGAGCCTCGGTCCCGCAGCCCCTGGAGCCGAGCCCCCAAGCTGGGCAGCCAGGACTCCTCCCCTGGGGCCTCTCAGCAGGGGCCAGCACCGACACCTTCCCGCGCCCGCTGACCCCGGGCAGGTCCTGCCCTGCAGACCTCGCGGCAGTGAGTCCAGCCGGTCCCGGGCGGCCGCCCTGGCGGGGGTCTGTCGCGGCGGCAGCCGCAGCCCTCGCGGCAAGTAAACATGATTTTTTTCTAACGCGCTTTTGTTTGGGATAATAACTATTCAGAGAATTGGTGTAATTACTTGAGTTCATTGAGCAGCGAAGACGTCGGCGACACAAACGTGCATTACCTTGTAAGGGGATAATTGAATAATGAACGCGTTCTAGGTTGCGCAAGAGGCCCCGGCATGTTCCGCGGAGCCCGCTAACCTCCAGAACTGAAAAGAGAAGCCTGGGTGGTTCCTGGGGAGCAGATGGTGGCTATAAAAAGGGATGCATAGATGTCTGGAATGTTCAGGAAGCATGCTGCTCCCAAGAGCGAGGCTGGGGACGGGGACAAGAGGGAGAGACTCAAAGGGAGACGTGAAATAAAGCCCCTCCCCACGAGGCCCGTCCCCGCCTCCTTCCGAGGCCGCAGAAGCAGGGTCTCCTGGGCCCACGTGCGCCCGGTTAGATCCCAGGGCCCTGCGCACGGGTCACGGTGCCCATGGACTGGCTGTTTCCCGCAGAGCAAGGCCGGGGGAGACCCGTCCCTTCGAGGGTGTTAGCTGAGGCCAGTCCTGCAAGCCCCGCGGCCCGCGGCCGTCTCCCACAACCCTGAGGCTGGACACGAGGCGGCCCCGCGGGCTCAGCACCGAGGAAGGGGCCTCCGGACGTCTGTCCCTGTCTCCTTCCCTGGGAAACCCTTCTTGCTTGCAGCGAAGGGCATTCAGCTGACCTACAGGGTCCAGGGCTGCCGGTCCCTGACCGCCGGAGCGCACGTCCCCCTGGGCTCAGTTCACAGACACAGCAGCGGCCCACATCGCGGCAGAGGCGGCGAGGTCAGAAAGAGACACGTCCCTCCAAGGAGCGGCACGGTCCCCCCCTGCGCCGGCAAGCGGGGGAGCATCCTCGCCCCACTGCTGAGCACGGCGGGCAGGCACCTTTACTCCCGCCGCAGAGAGGGGAAGGCAGCGACGGCCGTAGCGGGGTCAGCCGGGGATGGACGGCCGGTGCGGGCCCTGTCCACCAGGGTCTGGCCGGCAGTGAGTGGCCCGGAGACCCATGGGGGTGCAGGAGCCTCAGCACAATCAGCGTACCCCCAAATCCCAGGGGGTCCCGGTCTCAAGGGGCCGCAGCCCAGAGGATTGCGCAGACCTCGGGTGCGCTGCGGGGCCCGGCTGCGCCACGTCGCTGCAGCTCAGAATCCGTCGGCGCCCAGAAATGAGACCTGCAACGTTCTTTCTGTGGGGACAACGCCTGCGGGGCGCGGAACAACCCGAGCGGCCACCTCCCGGCCCGTGTTTGCCCATCGCCCCTCTGACCAACACGCTGCGGCCGGGGTGGGGGCGTCTCGTGGGATCTGGGACGACCCGTCTCCGCAGAGCCGTCGCGTCTCTTGGCGCACCCAGAGCGGCGCCGGCCGGGAAGTCTCCTGCTCCGCCCGTGTCGTCCGGGTGACAGAAGGTCACCCCCAGCTGCGCCGGCCGCGGCACGGCCCCCCGGAAAGCAGAAGAGCATCTTTCGGGGCCGCGCAGGGCGCCGCACCTGTAGGCTTATTCGCTCCCTGTAGGCGTGCGAGGTTCAGACGCACCGGGGCGCCCTTGGGGCAGGGCCTGCTGATGTCTGATGCCAACAGGTGCCCCTGGCTGGGTCTGGGCCGTGACGTGCTCCCGTCTCCTGGGGTCTCTGCAGGCCCCACATCTGTTCCGCCGTGTCCCGCGGCGCCTTGGACATGTCTGGAACGGGCCCTTTCGTTTTTATGGTAAATTCCTTTGCCAGAAAGTGTCCTCGACGTTTGTGGGCGCCTCCGAGCGGCTTCTCCCTTCTCCCCAGGTCCTCTTGGCCAGCAGCTTCGTGCCCATCTACGCGGGACTGAAGCCGGTGGAGTACAAAGGCCAGGTACCGGGTGCCCGTGCGGCGGGTCAGGCTGGTTCCCACGTCTGCGCGGAGACCCGCTGTTGTCAGGACCCCGCCGGCGCCTTATCACGGAGATTCGGGGTTGAGGACCGAGGGGGACGCCCCTTCCGTCTGTTTCCAGTCTTTCTCCATCGCTTTTCTGTAAAGGAGGCAAAGGCTTTTCTCCTACAAGCGTCCTGTGGACGGTCCTTCCTACAACACGCGAGACCCCAGGGGAACCCCGTGCCCGAGAGTGGCCGCCCTCGTAGCCAGGGGGTCCCGCTCCCGGGCTGACCGGGCCGGAGTCACCGGTCTCGGCATCTTCTCCTCTAAGGGCCTCACGCCCCCCTCTCCAGCTTCCCTGGTCTCCCCCGGGGCTCCCCCGGGGCATCTGGGCCCGCCCGCCTGTCCTGGGGTGCTGTCCAGGAGGGACAGAGGAGGGGCGGGCCACAAGACAGCCCGCGCGGGACCGGAGCATCCGGCAACCCTGCCCTTGTCCACGCTCTGAGAGTCTCCTCCGGGCTGTTGTGACCACTTGAAGCAGTGATGGAGAGGGTGGGGCGCAGAGACAGTGCGCGGGGGCCGTGAGCTCGGCGGGGGCCAGGGGAAGCAAGCTGTGCCACCTCGGGCTCACAGGAAGGGCTGCCGGGAAGTTGCGGCCTTTCCTTCCTGCTGCCTGGAACTCAGGCGTGATGGCTGGCGCACTCGCAACCACTGTGCACCGGGAGGTCACAGACACAGAGTGGGTCCTGGATGATTTGGGGTCGGGGTGGGGGCCAGCGTGGCCATGCTCGCCTTGCCAGGGAAAGAAAGAAAACTGTTGTGATAGTGTCCCCCGGGTCAGATCATCGTGCAGCCCGTGTGCTGGAGGCTCAGGGCACTGACGCCAGAGCCCCCAGGCAGCTGGTTAGACAGGAGGCAGCAGAGCCGGAGCCCAGAGGCAGGGGACCACCCCCCTGTGGGACCCCGAGGTGACACAAGGTGTCCACCCCAGCTTGCCGCCAGTCTCCTCTTTCCATCTCGAGGGAGATTTGAATCTCGCTGCCGATGCATCGCTGCGGGTGGGGCTCCCCGGGAGGCCTGCGACATTTGCCTTGCGCTGAAAACGCCTCCACGTCCCTCCGCACACGCTGACCCGTCCCGTCCTCCCCGCAGAAATGGGTGGACGGAGGCCTCACCAACAGCCTGCCCATCCTGCCCGAGGGCCGCACCGTGACCATCTCGCCCTTCAGCGGCCGGCTGGACGTGTCCCCGCAGGACCGGGGGCAGCGGGGCCTGTACGTGAGCATCGCCAAGCAGGACGTCCTGGTGAGTGGGGCGCTCGGAGGCCGTGGCCCGCCCCACGGCCCGGAGCTTCTCCCGCCCCGGCCCAGCGCCCCTGCCGTGGCCCAGCTCCCTCTCTCTCTGCCCCAGCTGTCCGTGGCCAACTTGGTGCGGCTCAACCAAGCCCTGTTCCCGCCCAGCAAGAGGAAAATGGAGTCGCTGTACCAGCGCGGCTTCGACGACGCCGTCCAGTTCCTGCTCAGGGAAAACTGGTTCGAGTAGGGCCTGAGCTGGAAGCCTGGCGACCCCCACACGCCAGCATCTCGGCTCTGGCCTCTTCAGCCTGGTCTCGCGCTGTTTGCAGCTGTTAACACTGGGGTTGTCACTCCTGCAGCCGACGACAGGCGTGGGCCCCGCGCCTGGCTGGGGTCAGGACGGAGACACCCACGCTGGGCCAGGACCGCGCCTTGGGAGGCCCATTTCAGGGTGCAAGACGCAGCTTCTCGGGTGGACCCAGGGGGTGCAGGGCGAGCCCTGCGCGGCTCTGAGCAGCCGTGCCCCAGCTCCCCAACGCTCTCAGGCTGGGCCGGCCGAGCCCGTCCCGGCGCTGGGGACACAGATTGCAGAGGGGTGCGTCCACGGCTCTGACCGGGCAGCAGGAAGGCCTGTGTCCTCCTGACGTGGGGAGCACAGGAGGCTGTGCGAGTCGCTGTGTGCCCCTTGCTTTTCACTGGACTTGGGAACCCCCTACTTCCTGCCTTCAGCCCCCACCCCAGCCCCACCCCCGGCCATGAGATCATCTGCTGCGTCGAGGGTCCCGTCCCGAGCCCGGCCGGTGTCCGTGCTCTCTGCACGGCCCCCGTCGTGTCTCTGGGGCCCGCTGCCGCCAGCGCCCCCCACTGCGGGCTCCTCACCTCTGGGCCGGGGCCTGTCACGCCGCACCCCCCTGATGTCCCCTCTGTCTCCGTGCCGCGGGGTCTCCTCCCGCAGCCTGGGCCGGCGGGAGGGCAGGAAGCTCCGGGCCCAGCCAGCCTCCTAAATGGGAATCGGATCCAGGTGACTGTCCGTGTGTGTTGCTGCGAACGGCGTCCTGGCCCAGGCGCACCTGCGTGGCGGCGTCCTCGCTCTGGGGGGTTTGTGCGTGTCCTCCCCTCCGGGGGCGTGTGTGCGGGGAACGGGGTCCCCTGACCCGCTGTCTTGAAGCGTGTCAGGGGCTTTCCCAGCACCATGCACAGCCTCCTGGGCACCCCCTTTTCACCCCCTGCAGCCGTTTTGAAAAGCGAGTCTCTGGCCCTCCCAAGCCCAGACAGCTTGTCCAGACGTCCCCAGCGGCTGCCTCACCGGCGGCCCGGAGCCCGGAGGAGGCCGCTGGACCCCGGGCGTGTCTTGTCCTGCTCGGGGGACTCGCGGGGCAGCCCCGGTCGCCGTCCAGTGGCCGCACGAAGAGCGTGGACTCTGCTCCTTCCGTGTCTGCGGAGCCGCGGGGCCCTGTCGGATGCGTCCCCCTGCTTTTCGCAGCTGCCCGACGTCCCCCACGGAGGCCTCGGGGACCACGGGCGTTGGGGCCTCCCAGAGGGGCTCGAGCAGGTGCCGGGAGGGGCCGCCCTGACCCCGCAGGCGCTTCCTGGGCCGGGGGCTGGAACGGCGCCCCACGGGGCTGTTTCCTGAGAGCTTGGGCTCTGTCACTGGGGATCTCATCCGTCCTCCTCCATAACGCGCGCTGGACTGTCACCATGGCAACCCGCCGCTCCATCGACCGTCCCACTGGCTTGGCGCTGACGTGGCGTCACGCTCCAAGGGGCCGCGGCGGCTTGCTCCCCGTTACGTTGGTACATATTCAGGGGGGCGGAAAGTTGGGGGTCGAGTCCGCTGTTTGTACACTGCAGGCACCAGTACGACGGGTGTTTGGGGTTTTGAGGTTTTGTCGCCCGGGTTGTGTCCACACAGGACGACGCTGAGGTTGAAGCGACTGTCCAGGTCTGCAGCGCCGAGTGCAGAGGTGGTTCAGGCCTCCGGCCTGAGGAAGCCCAGGGAGCTGAGGGGTGAGGGCGGCGGCCTGCGCTTACGTCACAAAGCTCGCGGTCACCGTGGAGACCACCTGGTGTCCACGCCGGACTCCAGCTTCTGGCCAGGGCCTCCGCTGACCTGGGCCGGCTGGGCGGGCTGGCGGCCAGCAGCTGCCCGGGCACGGACTTGGCTCGCCCGGCTCTCTGGTGGCCGCGCGCACCTCCCCGAGCCCGGGATTCGGAGCTGGCGGCTGCAGCCGCGGGGCCGCCTGAGCAGAGCCAGCGGGCACCGTCTCAGTCCAGGGGCGTCCTGAGGGCCGGTGTCCCCGGAGGGGCGGGACCCGCTCGCGTGTGCTCCGAGGCCAGGGAGGACTGCACGCGGGGACCTGGCGGGGTCTGGCGGCACAGGGGTCAGCCTCCTGCTGCCCGGGCCCTCCCTGACCCCGTGCTTCTGTCGCCGGTGGGCGAGCTCGTGGGAGGGGGTTGTGACCTCACACAGGCCCACAGGAGCAGCCCCCCGAGGGCTGAGGATAAGGGTCTCCCCGGGGAGCGGGCCCGGCCCTGGAGGTGTGGCTGAGAGCCGAGGAGCCGGTGTGAGCAGGAGCAGGGCAGCCACAGGGGGGTTCAGGGGCCCCAGCTGGTGGAGGGCAGACATGCCCTGTCCTCATCCGTCCTCCCGGGACCTCAAGGCCCCCCAGCCCTAGACCCCCCATAACCGAGTCTCCTGAACCGGGGGACCCTCCCCGGCACGTCCAAACCGGCCGGGGGTAGCACAGAAGAGCCTTAGAGATCACCTTTTCCATCCCGAGGGAGGGAGGCGGCTCGGGCCCGTTCTGGAGCCGACTCCGCCGTCTCGGGGTCACGGCCATCTCCCGCACACCAGCTTCCTTTGCGGGCACCGCCTCCACGCCAGTGCAGCCCGCCAGCACGCGGCACGGGAGCCTCAGAGTCTGTCCCCGTCACGAGCAGCTGGTCAGCCCAGGATGGGAATCAGGCAGGGTCGCCGCTGCCCGGGGCCTCCGGGCCTCCGAGGCCTGCGAGCATTCGCAAGAGCGGAGACTGTCAGGTGCGGGGCATTTGGGGCGCTCCGCCCCAGGGGGAGCCGAGCCAGGGCGCGGGGTGGCCCGGCAGCGCCCCTCGTGTCCCGCGGTGAAGCGAGCCGGCAGCGGCGCAAACCCGTGCCCCGCACAGCAGGGCTGGACCCGAACGAACCCCACATTTAAGGCCCACAGACACGGACGCTCCTCATTTTTGTTTACAATGACTTCATTTAAAAAACCCTCCGAGTCGGAGACGGTAGGATCATCAGCGCAAAATCTGGAAGAATTTCCTTTTGCTTTTCCTCCAATACGTCCCAGGCATGATTAATTTTATCACGAAGACAACACCTCGCAGAACTCACCTCTACCCCCAAAATACCACTCCCATGCTCTTTCCCTCCCTGCCGTAGGGGAGCCCGACACACAACACGCCCCGGTTTCCGTGCCTCACCCATCACGGACGACAGCAGCCCCGCACGCGTCGTGGTCGTGCGCCTGTCGCTCTTGCTCAGCTCCCCCTTTCCTCCCGATGGATCGATTCTCGAGGGCCCCTCACGGGATGCCTTACCGGCTGCGAGCCAGGAGCGCTTTCTCTGCCCCCTCCGGCTATCCTGCCCTCGGCTGTTCCCTTCCCCGCGGGGCGCTGCAACGCAGCAGCCATCCGCGGCGATCCCGGGGCTGCCTCCTGCACCGTGAAGTTTAGCGTGAACACCCTTCACCGAACCGTGGGCGCTCTGTCTCCGGGCTCATCGCGAGGACTTCGTCTGATGCTTTATCATTCACGGGCACATCCTGCGTGCGGCGACGCTGATCTCCCTGTGCGAAAGCTGCGGGCTGCCCCTGGCTGTGTCCGCCTCTGCCTGGGAATAGACCGTCCTTTCTGTGGCCGCCTTCGTGGCGGTGTCTGTCTGTCCTCATCCAACGACTGGATTCTCAGAGCTGCCCGTGAAACCTCTAAACGAGGCCACTGCATTGTTTAAAGAAAGATGGTCCCACGCGTTCATGGATGGCCTCCCGAGAGCAGGCCAGCTTCACGGACACCGATGCCCGACGAAGAGGAAAGAGACATCGCAATAAAAATGCCTCAAAAACCATCCACAAGAGCCTGGCGCCTGGGACTACGGCATGAAGAAGAGCGTCTCATTGAATCAGGAGGACGACCCGCTTGCCCGACGCCTCTGCTGGGACGCGGCGCCCGAGGGGGGTCGGGGAAAGGCAGGCCAGAGAGAAGCCCCGGCCCCCGAATGGACACATAGCAAAAAACGTCATCGTTTATACGCTGGGTCTCGCCCGACGCCAGCACAGCCTGGACCCTCAAGAGCTGAGGAATAAACGATGACTTGGTACCCCCAAATCAAGGCAATCAACTGAGGAAATATTAGGGGAACTGAGACCCCATTAAAGCTTCCGCAGCACGTACGGAAACCAACAGGACGTTTGCGCCGGCAGAACCGAGAAAGTAGAGCAAAGCATCACCGGACCGAGAAAGAGGCATCGCACCTCAGACATGTGCAAGACGCATGTGAACACTCGGCACACTTCCCTCCTGGGGTGAGACTGCTGTTTTCTAGAAGGAAGAGCACCTTCTGTGCGGGATCCAGTCTCCGCTTGCGAACCCCCCAATGTTACAAATTCCCACGGACCGTCGATATTCTGGTCTCGGAAGGCGGCGCGTGGAAGATGAGCTTCTGGCTGGAGCCGCGTCCCCGGCAGCCACGAAGGGCTACGTCACGGCTCAGCCGGAGGTTCCTCAAGTTTGGGCTCAGGCCCCGTGTTTACCCCCAACTTGCCAGCAGAGCAGAAGCTGCGTCTTAACCGCACACCCCACCGAGCCACTGAGGTGCGAAGCTGCAGCAGCTGGGGACGGGACGGGCGGGTCCTCGAGGTTGAGGAGAAGCGGCCGGTGCCGGACAAGCTTGCCTTGTTTCCAAGACAGATTCTCCGCCTCCCCCCCAAGTTTTTTGACATCAAAGGGATGGAGAGAGGCCGGTGAGCATGCGAGTCAGCTGCATGGACCCCCGTGGTTTGGGGGGCAGCAGGGACATTTGGAAAGGAGAGCTGGTATACCCCCTGCCCGTCCAGTGAGCACCGCGGAGGACAGCAGAGGCCCCGCGAGCAGGGCAAGGTCGCGGGGAAGGTCAGCCTGGGCTGGGAGCAGCACCCGGGGAGACGGAGCTGGGGCTTCTTGGGAAGTGGCATGGAGACAAGTGGCCCCCCACCTTCTCCCGGGGAGAAGGGAGCGCAGTGCTGGCCTCGGAGAACAGCAGGCGGACGTCTAGCAGGCGGACGTCTGGGCTGTGGTGCGGCTCCCGGGACAGCGGGCACCAGAGACGCCCACTGAGATGCAGCTGTCGGTGAAGCCGGGGCTCCGTCTGCACGTGTGGGAGCCGGGCTGGCAGGCAGCTGCCCCTCGGGTGCCGGATTTTGCGAGACTCCGTGCATGGCAGCCGCGTCCTGAGGCCGAGCAACCTCATTAGAGAAAACTGCTGCACCTTTGACACGGACAGAAAATGCTCTGTGGAGCCCGCTGCGACTCTGAGGGACAACTCCATGAATAAGTGACAACTGTGACTTACTCAGCGATCAATGATGCTCTTTGTCTTCCCGCCTCCAGGGCTAGAACCACAAAGGCAGATGACTTTGTAATTTGAACTTGGAGATTTGATCAAATCGTTGACCCGTTTTCATTTTACCTCCACGGCACAAAAAACCTGACTTTTCACCATCTATTA